AGATCGTTGCATAGGTCGAACTGTATTCAAGGACAAACAGTTAGTATGGTTGTCGTTGTCATTTTAATGATAAGCTTAACGTTTTGTTTTTCAGAATAATCTGAACATATTTCATTTTTTTTTCATAGTAAAAAAGATGTCGATAATTTATTTTTTATTAAAACCGCCATAAATATAATATAATTACATATTTTTCGTCATTATATCTATGTTTGACTTCTTCAGTAGGAGTAGCACATTTTAATAAGCGGGCAGAATGATCAGTCCATATTATCTATATTGGTAGGTAGTGATAATATTATTATGTCTTTGTTTGTGTTGATGTGGTAGTCATGATGACGCGATGGCGTTGCGCTAAACAATTACATAGGATTTGTGCCGGTCAAATGTGAAATTTCAGTCACTGTCAGTTAACCTTATACCGCAATCTATAACGTGGGACAGCAGCTGCTGTACTGACGTTAGAAAAATATTTTTCTCGTCGGCGTTGTGGACATAGCAGAAAACCCTATGGCCTATCATTGGAATTCGTCGGACACACTCCGTCGCCTGTGAGAGTACCTATATATATTTATAATAAGTATATTGTTTTCTCGAGACAACCGCAATTTCCTCGTCTCCGACGCTATCCAGATCATCTTCCCATATAATATATAGTGTCATATTTGGTTTTCTGATTTACTTGCCGAAATTATTACACAATCGCCGTCGCTTTCGCTATCGATTAGCATAGACATCAATTTCCAGTTGTAAACCACAGAAAACTTATGTAAGTTTATCTGAAAGAAGAAGCGCATTTTCAAAATTAGCCGGCGGAAACAGCTCGCTTGTTTTTTTTTCAATTACAATATCGCAGATTACGTCTTGTGTATCATCAATTGTGTAGATACACATATATCATTGTCTTAGAAAAAAACTCACATTACCAGTAACGTTATTTTTTAGCGAACAAGTTCTAACATTAATATTGAATAAGTAAGAACCTTGGTCTAACTTACTGTTCAAAAATTAGGGATTATTCAGCAGAGTATATCGATTTTGATCCAAGTCATTACTTTAAATTTGTTTATTCAACTTCCGTTTGTATTATTCCTCGCTATAATATATGAAGTAATTAAAAATAAATATCACGTTTTCGAGGAAAAAAAACGTCACCAAAAATGTAGCAAATAGGGCTTGGCTTCTATATTTTTCAAGTACCTATATGAATTAAATTTTCAACCGTTCTTCAGCAGTGTCTTAAGCAATGTCCCTCGACGGTAGTATCCAAGTTCGCACCTAGACCTTGGATTATCGGCAGGAAATACACTATGAGTAGTAAAAACGGCAACTAAACTGTGTTTTGAAATTTGACGGTAAAAATCAAATCGAATACCCAATGATTTAAAATAATTTCCGGTTTAATAAATTATTTTAATTCGTTTATGCATCAGCTAAAACGGCGGATGACAAAAAAATATAACAGAAATATTCTGTTTAACCGCAATGCGATTCCCAAGGTATACTTTAGGTAAGCGATCAAAACGTATGAGGATAAAGAAAACATATTTTTGTTTGCCATGGTATTATGATAAATATAAAAAATGAATCGACGAATCCATTTTGAAATTTTAATCCTTTGTTTTTTCGGGCTCGAGCTAAACAAATATTTCAACTGTTTTATTTCGAACAGATTTTTCACTCAGGCCATAAATAAAAAAAAAAAAGAATATTGCATATAAATTATTTTCGTCATTACCTCTTCGTTTTTATTTTTTTATTTCTCAAGCTGCTCGAGACTTTGTACATATACCTAAGCTCGCAGTTAATGTTCCAAAATGGATTTTATTGTATAACAATTTATATTTTTATATACTTCAATTAGCTACGGACGATTTAGAACTGACGATTTAAGACAACTGCTCCTCGTCGATGATTAATTTATTATTGATTTTTGCATAGCACTTTATTGCATCCAAGGGCCGTACTTGAAACGGTAAGGTACATAATATATTGCTACATTCTAAAACAATAACCGATTTTTATTATATCTTTAGTTCAACACTTTTAAGTCATTTTGATAGTATGTATTGCAATCGTCATTCTTTATTCACTGTTGTTGAGTAGATGAAATACTCTACTTTATGGATAGAAATATAAAAAAGCATGTTTTGTATGATAATAAAAAAAAACATCTACACCTTCAGAAATTAAACGGGGGAAAAAATACCATGTTATAATAATAATAACAACAAATGTAACAGTAAACTCGAGTAAAAAACAACATGAAAAGAAAATTGAGAATAGGTAAGTACCCTACAGGCTACATAGCTCCGTACGTCGGTAGTGCAGTTATTAAATTAAATAAATAAAAAGAGCGCAACGTTATAAGGTGAATGTCATAAAACCGAAAACGATTTGTCTCCTAACCAGAACACAACATCTTATTACAACGTAACGGTAAAACGAGACGAATAAACGTTTACAAATATCTATTCTCTTCCAATATAAACATAACATAATAATATTATTATTATTATACACCAGCTCAAATTGTCAGACTTATATATTATTATATATTGTGTTGTAGCGCAGCCGTGATCATAAAAATTGTTTGAAAAATTCAACCGTCCCATATAATATAATATATAAAACACATGTAATAATATTGTCATTGTTTACCTTCCGTTTCACTATGGTCGGCCGAGTTATTGGTAAAGCGAAAAACGCATAAAACAAAATCCAAAAATCAAATCACGTGGAACAAATACATTTTTTTATAATTATTATTATATTTTATAATACTTCGCGATATTTTTCAATACTTTGAACATATTATATTTCAAAATATTTTCTTAACATTGTAGAACAATTCTAACAATTGAGAATTATTAACATGTTTGTTGTTAGTTATTTGATTTCCTGGCAGAATATGAGTTAAAAATAAAAATTACTGGAACAACTATTATAAAATAACTTATTATAAAATATATCTTTGCAACGTGGGAACATTTCTAAATGTCAGGAGACCCACTTTTCGCGTAAAAAAAAAATATATTAAACTAATGAATAAGACATTTGGTTAATAACTACGGTTATGAAATCTCAGAGGAGTAGGCATTGTAATAGACGCAAAAGAATCGTTGGACATTATTATACATTATTAATAAAACAATTTTTTTTTTCAAATCACTAACTAAACTCTACGTTATTTAGAGATACTTCTCTTTCTCACGATTTTTTTACATTTGATTAACAGCAAATTTTAAATTTTCATTTAAAATTCTAACGTGAAAGCGAATTAAATATTTTTCAATTATAAAAAAAAGATTATTAAAACCAACATATGACACTTGAAAATCTTCCTTTTGATATTTCATGATAACATTTTTTTTAGCAAGTTCTCAAGTTATCAGTTTTATCAATTTCAATGGGCTGTATGTGATAAAAACAATTTTTATCGTTTGACATTGAGCGCTTTTGAAATATCATATTTTAGCTATAAGAATCTGTTTTTAATTAGTAAAAATATTCATTAGCTTTCTAGTTGCAGGTTTTTTAATTAAAAAAACAATTTCTCACGCTAATTAAATATTTAAAAAAAAAACAATTCACGAGGAAGTACTTAAATTTGTGCTAAAGATCTGACATTATAAGGGATTTTTTTAGTTTAACAGGCTAGTAATTGATTGAAGTGGTAATTAAAAAATACAGTCTAATATATTATAATATACTATCTAGACAACGTCCGCGTGTTATTGAAATGAGTTGTGTTAAGACGTATCGACCGATTTAGTACGGGTTACACGGCGACGACTGTAAAAAATAAAAAAAACAAGTAAAACATTAAACTATAATGACAGCCAAACGACAGACAGCACAGCGACAATTATTATTATCGGAGAACGAAAGTGGTACCACGTTTTGGTCGACGATTTTTGTAGGCAAATCCGAAAAGAAATCCTAAATCCCAGTGCAACGGCGTGTGAACCGCACAGAAACGACACCGAAATTAAAACGGACGAGATAATTTTCTCTGTAGTAAAAAAAAAAAGTTTAAAAAACAAAACAAAAATCGTCTACTCCGCAGTGTAATTATTACAAAACGCTCAAACGGTATATTAACAAACGTTGGTAAAATTATAATATTATTGTTGATAAGCGACGGCTACCTTTTTGTTTCTTTTCTTAACGATGATACAGAGGCATATATAAATATATATATTTTACGAAACCGTGTAAAGACTTTGTCCGGTCCGAGGCTTTGCACAATGACGATTTTCCAAACTATATAAGTCTGCACATGCCGTTGAAGTCGTAAGGATGAAAAACAAAATCACGTTAAATCCCTTTACCGGACTAGTAGGATATTTTCGAAGGTTTAACGTGGGGGATTTTTTTTTATGGTTTTTTGGCGATTCTATCTTATAAACGGGCCGCTGACCGTCGTATATAGATGTATGAATACATGGAGTAATATATTATATTATGGACTCTCTCGTTACTATTACAATTAATAACCGTGGACGACGACGGGATTTCGTGTGAAAAATTATTATCATAATTAGCGAAAGTCTCAGACGGGTCGACAGCTATTAGTACACTTGTACACACACGGTTGACAAAACGGGTACACCTGGCCACACGAGCAGAGTCTCATAATACCTATGTATATATATATATACATAGGTAAGTTACAAGTTTTCGGTGACACTTTGTACAATAAAAAAAAAAAAAACATTTGTGACGTTCATTGTAAAAGCGAATTATCTCCTTGTAATTGAATATTGAAATAACGAGCTTTTTGTGAATTAATGTGTATAGGAAAACAAGTACAAGTATTCGTTCAGTGTTTTTCATTTATTATATTTTTTTTTTTTTTGTTATTTTTGGAGTTCCTTCTCTTTTATAACGAAAGACTAAATGACTAAATGTGACTCCATTAAGCAAAAATATGTATATTTTTAAATTTTGTAGTTATACCACTTTTACCATTTATTAACGACCCATTTAACACTTACCCTGCGTATACACTAGTTGCTGTACGACGGCTAGAAGCGTGTACATGTTCAAAGATCTCAGCATGTTACACGTACGGGCAGCGAAGAAACGGAAATCGGAAACCGCGAAAAAAAATGTAACTAAATTGTTTTGAACTCGACTCGATTGGAATTTTTTTAAAAAAACACCACCGCATAAACTTTAACGCCCGCAAAGTCGTTTCCCCGGTCGGCGTCGCACACTTGTATGCTTAAAGCCACCGCCGCACGTTCGTTATCTGTTATCCGCAAACATGGCGGCCGAGAGGGAATAACGGAGATCTCAAGACAAAACTAATCGATCTCCTCGATCGTAGATCTTTTTTTTTTTGGTTTTGTTTTTGTTTTGTGGCGCCGACAGCCACCGCTTGTTTGTTTGCGACTAAACCACCGCAAAACCGTTAAGTTAGCCCATAGGTCGCCGCCTCCACCACCACCACTTTCACCTTCGGCTTGTTGCAGAAAGCGAAAAAAAGAAGTAAAATAAAAAATGTAATAAGCGCCGAGGTTCAATGTCGATGTCCCCTCTATACCTGTTTTTTATTATACTATAATAAACGCACGGCCTCAACACTGACGGTGGTCGTATGTAATGTACTAATATTACATTAATATGTATAACGCGGTAAACGCACAGAGTTTGGATTGCAGGCTTAAGATGTATATTATCGTACTTAAGATACATATTATTGTTTGTACTCAGTATTAGACTGTTTTTAGTCTATAGCCTATTCAAATAAGAAATCGCCAAAAATTTCAGATCCCTAGCTTGATCTACTTCTTTTAACTGACGTTGTTTTAACATTTAAGAAATATTAATTTTCCATTAAAAAAATTGTCTAACACTTCAATAATCAATTTTTTTTTTAAATTAAAAAAAAAAAATTCTCATAGCTAAAATACGACACACGAAAATCGTTCTTTTGATATTTGATATATAAGTTTTATTAGTTTCGATGGGCTGTAACTTGATAAAATCTATTTATACTGTGAAACATCGAGAGACCGCTTTTGAAGTGCCATATTTCCAGCTTTAAGAGCATTTTCTTAAATCGTAAACAATTATCTTTTCCCCTTTGACCTCTTCAATTATATCTTATCTTCATCTGCCTACCAAACATTTCTAAACATACCGACACTTCCTAAATCTACACTTGGAACCCGGTGGTCAAACAAATACAATAATTTCCCATGCCAATAAAATAAAAAAATAAAACAATTTACGAGGAAATGAACTTAGGGCTAAGCTAGAGATCTGAAATTTTAGAGATATCTTATTTTTAATAGGCTACTGATTGCAAGGGGAAAGGGATTAGAAAAAATTGTTTTCAGACACATTTCCTTAAATGTTGTGTACTGATTTTTTTTTTTAATATCACACTCAACAATCTCCCAGGGTCCAAGTCGAGTCGAATAATGCGATTTAGTATAGTGCCGAATTAATTGTAATATAATTGTAGATGACCGTATTTTTATGTAGGACGGTCTGACTTTTAAAACGCTATCAGCAGGCCTAGGGGGGGGGGCTAGCAAAACCTGCTTCTTTTCGTAAAGAAACTTTTACCTAAACCATTTTTTTTTTGGTGATTTTTGAGCTAAAGACTTGTATTTTTGTTGACATTTTTAATAAACAAAATGCGTTTCGCAGTTTTTCATTAGATAATCCACGGGACTCCAGACGTAAATAGAGACATATTATGTCTATATCGTATTCTTGGTAAAAACTTTATTTTTTTATGAATATAATTATTAATCCGAAAATGAAATCGTTTTGCGACCTTTGTTTTTAATTATAATACCTCCGCTGTTTATCGCAGTAAAAACCGTGAGAGTTTATTTTTTTTAAACAATTACTCACAGTAGGATTTTTTTAATTTTATAATATAGTAAATGCCGATTTTATATACTATTTAGGTGTTTTTTTGTTCTCGTTTTCATTTTTTCCAACTGGAATAGGTTAAGTAGAGATTTTAAACGAACAACGGTAAGTATTGTTGCACAGATATAGCAAACCGATTTTTTTTTACTGTCAGTAGAAATTTGTCGTTTTGTTATATTGACTAATTAAATCAAATTAAATATGTAAATCAACGTCGTTTAGGGACCATTTACACAAAAGAATCACGGTCAACGCTTTTTTATTTCTGTTTGACAGTGATTCCGGTGAACAATGCCGGGAAAGGGTTCTCGGTAGATTATCATATCACGTGCCGGTGATCGCGCGTTGTCTGTGAAAGATTAAGATATTATCTTGATAATGTTGAACGTGTATAGTTACACCGGGATTATAATAATTCAGCTTTATAATATATATATATATATATTTATATTAGTCTGTATGCGGCAGATATATTATTATTATTGTTATACACTTGTCGTATTTAACGATCTGTAGCGAATTACGCGTCTTGAGTATTTTCTTAGTAATTTTCCATCATAATATAAGTAAAGTATATGGCTGTTTTTGATTGTGGATTTAGACCGATGTATATATGTAAATAACATTAAACTGTCCAACAGTAGTATCCGTATGGAAATTATTTTTTTTTTAACAATGACATGTCAACACTATAATCCGTATTGAAGCATTTTACGGCTCTGAATACGTTTCGTTCTATCGTTGGCTAAATCAATTATTATTGTAGTATTAGGATAAAAAAAACACGCACACACACACACACGTACTTGCGGTGTGAATAGAACGGTTCCTCTGTTTTTGCTGTAATCTAACAGTTAAATAATAAATTACAGGATGTAACAAATAATAGCAACGCGTTTCTCGATTGATCCGCATTTATCGTAACGGCGATATATAATGTTGTATACATTTTTCAGGAGGGGTGTCGACTACCTATTTCTATCGTCTTTTGATATACTTAAATGTTACCTTAAACAAAGTTGTACAAAGTATAGTGGCGACAACGGACGATTCTGTCAATCACATTATTGCGCATGCACTATTATGGTAACCGTTTTTTTTTTAACTCGATTAATCTCGATGGCATGAACAAATCGCCAACGGCTATACATAGGTACCAATTACGATTGTTTGCTACGGCCGCGGGCACAATTTGTATCCCTGTTTTTTTGGCCAAAGCACACGTCCACAGTAAAATCCCATCCGGGAAGATCAGATCAAACGAGCCTTGTTAATATTATTGCTAACCTTGTTTTCCGGTCATTTATCAAAACGGTCGCGTATTGCATTATTCCGTCCGCAGGTGTACACACGACATAAGGTACCCACAAGACGTCTGCAGTCGGTAGACCGATGCTACCTTTAATATTTGTGTGTACGGTTTTGATACGATTATGTGTAGGCATCTATATGTAATAGCACAACGAATAACGAATCATAACAGTCCGTGTTACGTGACTTGATGACCGAAACTAAAACGATAACACGCGAAAAATACAATATATTAACCTTGCGGCGAATAAACGAACGCGTCTCGTTCTTGACCGACAAAAAAATAAAAATAAAAAATCACATCCATATAGTTTTTACATGTACTATTATTATGCTAATATAGAACAACAGCAAGTACGTTGCCAATAAACCGGCGGCGCCCATTACACGCACACAAGCGATCTAAGTAATTTCTCGTTTAACGGATTTTTTTTTCTTCTTTTTTTTTAACACTCATTCGGTATTTTTTTCTTGTAAATTATATTAGGTACTGTTTAATTTCGCCATCGTCCGTTTTTCATTGCTATAATATTATCGGTTTGTACGGCTTGTAAATATTGTTGTTTTTTCTCTATTTGAATTGATTGCTCCTAAAGTATAATAATATGTAGTTATAGTCTAGTAGGTACACAGTCGAAAACGATTAAAAACAGCGCTGTACGATTCGATTGTACAAACAACAGCTATGCACCTACAGTGTTTGTACGATTGAATGGTCAATCGTGTTTTGATATCAGCTTTGATTGCGGTTTATTTGATTTATTATAAAGCTATTATGTGCGATTTTCGTTTGTGTTAATTAATCCGTTCTGTTACGCGTATGGATATAATAATATAATACCACCGCAACTATTGTTATCATTGATAAACCTATTCCTATATTGTCGAAAGGGTTTAAAGGCGTAAGATTCGATTCCTTTCTACGACGGTCTTAAGTAGTGCTCCGCGTTGACATAACATGGGCCGCCGATTGTGAGAAATTAAATTCGGCACAATCATAACGATATTATTATAATGGACGAATAAAAAAAAAATATTATTCGAACGTACCTATTACTGGACGTTTATTGAATTGTCATAACGAAATCGATTGTGTGCAATCGTAACAAATAAAAATCAACGTACACTCGGCGCGTTTACTTTCAAAAAATCCCTAAAAGATAATAGTAATAATCGTCGACAATCTAGGGCACGTAAGTACGTAGGTATATATGTATATGTTATATTATATTATCGAAAGCAGTCGTGTAACGCGCAGACATGATCGACGGCCAGAGAACGTTTAAACCGAAGTGAACTGCTGTGAACGCCATTGTTTTGTGGATCACACGGATTCTAAAACGATTTATCATGCTTGTGTATCAAAGTTATATTAATATAGATTAAAATTAACACCCCAAGCGGAAAACAAAAACGCATTAGGCGAAGAACGTCAAGAGCGGTTACGGTTTCTCGCAGTCACTTGTAACGAAATTGTCGGTTTTCGAAACAACCGCATTCGTGTCTAGGTCTACTGACATATTTTAAATGCAACTAATGTACATGTGAATACCAACCCTTGATGGTATTACAGTATGTTCATCCTCTAAGGAACGCGGATAAGCATTCTCCCGGGCCCATGCTACCTAGATCCACGAAGTCGGAAGATTGCAATGCTGTAAAGGCTTAAACCGTCTTTGTATAAAAATTTGACTACATCAAAAGACGACATGATTTATCAGAAACTTTTGTTTTAAATGGTTATTTACGAATGGACCTTTTGATGGCACAACCTTATCGGGTCCATGATTTCCTATACGACAGAACGTTTATGCCAATACAGATTAATAATTTTGGTCAGTTGTTCATATTTATTGTTAGTGTCTTTAAGTGCGTTAGCTACAATTTTTTGAATTTGTCAGTTTCAGCTAACGCTTGCCCGTAGAGTAGAGTTAGAACGGCTTCTCTGACAACCATGTTTACCCAATCCATTTGTGTCAGTTGAATCATAAAGTAAACCGCTGGTGTAAATAACGTCAAACGCATGTGTACGAAACTCGACTCTCGAACACATTACCAACGCATTCATTCCTACGGTATAGAATAAACAACGATGGGTGAAGGTTACATTAATAGCAGAGGCGTAGTTCTCATTTGGCAGAGTAGGCAGAGGGCAGTAAATTTTGTGGTGCTC